GATCATTAATGAAGACATTAAACAAAACTGGACCTAGGACCAGCCACTGGAGCACTCCACTTGATACTGGCTGACAACTAGACATTAAGCCATTAATCACTGCCTGACAATCCAGCCAGCTTTCTATCCACCTTATAGTCCATTCATCATCCAACCCCATACTTCCTTAACTTGCTTCCAAAAATGCTGCAGGAGATTGTATACAAAAAAAATCCTTCCTAAAGTCAAGGTACATCATTGTCCACTTTTCTCCTTGCATCCACAGAGCCAATGATGTCATCATAAAAGGTAATCAGGTATAACCCTAGTGCAGGCTGTGTAGCTAACCCCAAATAAGTCTTCACCAGTAGGATATGTAATCTCACTAACCAAGGACAAGAATAAAAAACAGGCAGTGGTTGAATAACATGAAAGTACCTTAGTCTGAATTTGGTAATGAGGTTTAAGTATCACTTTGTCTATATGGAACAAAATATTTCATAGCCAGGGGGATCTTGGATTTACAGGCTGGGGTAATGGCGAATAATAATGAGTCCCTTAGTGAGCAGCAGTAGGATGCAAAAGACCTCTCTCCTTTGAGTGACTTTCCTTGTATTGATTTCACTGTGTGTACAAATGCATCGTGAAGGCTGGAGCTTTGTGTGTTTGTGTCTGGCAGTATCTATATGGTGCAAACATACTCCCAGCTCAGTTGCTCTTAACTGTCTTTTGGCTTGAGAAAGAGCAACCTGCTGTGCCTAGAACATAGTTTTCTACTTCTAAAACATTGTTGGTTGTTGTTCTGAATAATTTTCTGTTAAGTTCCTGGGGTTTTATTTGCTGCCAATAGGAGGCCTTTTCTTAGTGGTCACTTATTATACTTTTTCTGTTTGCGGTGGTAATCTTTTTCTCCAAGATGGATTTTTTAGATCCTTAGTCTTTAAGTACTGTTTTCCCAGTGAGGGGACAGTTGCAACTTTAAGTGCCTTTATTGGCAGAGTGACTGTCATGTATCAGAGCTGTTCAATTTGCGAATTTTTTACCAGCCAACCATGGAAAAAAAAGACTGGGAGGTGAGACCCCAAGGCTTACCAAATCTGTAAATTAATGGTGTCTGCCTTGAATCATGGGATGCAGGATGGCTTCTGGTCACTCCAGTGCATAGGCTTCCTTCCCCAAAGACCATCTTTGTCACCAGCATCACAGAGATAGTTTCTGGTGAAACTAAAAACAATGTAAAGTTCAAACAGATCCCAAACTTGCAGTTCTTCCAAGAAGCACTCTGTACCACCACTTTGTCTTTTGGAGACTTTGCAGGCCTGACTGGTTCCGAAAGCTTGGAGGTGTCTCAACGCCTACATGTTGGTTTAGGAGTCCAAGCCTTCTACTGTGCTGGCACTAAACTACCTGGAGACTATCCAGGCGCCCATCATCAACATTTAGATCTTCAGCATCAACATTTGGGGAATCAACAAAGGTTAGCTGTCCAAAGGTAGCTGTAACTACTGTACCTCTTCCTCATAGTCTAATACAGCCTTCATAGTTACCTTGCTTCACAGCACCATTGGATCAATTTGTTCTTCAGGAGTGAGAGTTACCATTCTTTTTAGTGCCTCTCACCGTGTGAGCACACCAAGTGGCATGAGGCCTTCCTGTGCTGCCATCCAGAATTATCTTAATTCAAGTGTTCATGTGGTTCTGAAAATGATCTGGACTCAGAGCAATCTGACCCTTAAACCCCAAGACTATCCTCCACATTTCTCTGCATCTCATGAAGAAACAGATGCTGGATCCTGAGCCATTCTTGGCTGTGTTACTCAGCCTCTTGGTCCCAGAGCCTATTTCCTGCTTTGCCTGTTGTGACTCTTGTGGCACTGGGCCACTCAGATGAGAGAAGGTGCAGGGACCTGCTCCATGGCTTCAACCTCCAAGGATGCAGCCACCAACTTTCCTGGCTCCCCTTTGCCTGGATTATGAAGCTCCACTGGAATCTGTTATCCACTTTGCAGAATTTGAGACCCTACCAAACACCTTCTTTGTGCTCAGATGAGAGTCCTGCTGAATACCTCTTATTCAAATTATAAGGGCCTTCAGGCTATAATGAAGAGGGTGGCAGCAGCACCCCAGACCGCCATGAAAGAAATGGAGAAAACTGCATAAAGTGATTGATATTTTACAACAGTCCACATTAGGCAAAAAATAGCCTTACATATCAATGAGGCTATCAGGGAGGTGGTTTCCATTGCAAGGAAGGTGAACAAGAAGTGTCAAATGCCATATAGAGAAGCAGAATTATTATTCACTACTTTTTCATCTTCCCTCCTTTGGCAAAACAGCACACCACCACTCCTGGAAAGGAGCAGCCCAAGAGGATTGACTATTAAGGCATGAAGTACTACTGCTTGATGGGCTTTCAGTTTCAAATGGCCAACTAACATGCCATACTGGACAAACTATCACCAGAGTTTGGGAGCAGTATTAAAGCTCTGATGTCTAAAAGCCTAGCTGCTATCTGCAGTAGTCTTTGATACAGCAGATACTGTATCTAATGCCATGCTGACAGTGTGCCAGGAAACTCCTTGTGGTCTCTCATGAGGTACAGCATGTAGTAGAAAATATTCTGTCTGAAGGAACGAAACTCTTTAGTGCATAATGGATGAAGCAATTCATATAATAAAAGACTAAAGTGATGCTATGTCCTGAGGAGAACACAAGGTATGGCCAAAACAGAAGAACAATCACAAGTCCTATTCCTGGCAACCAACTCAACCTTGCTTTTTCTCTTAATTCTTTTATAAGACAGTGTTTCCATAAGCGTGAATTGGTTTCCCTATCAGCCCAGTTGGCTTATATAGCAATCCTTTTTTGTTGAGAGGTGTGAGCTGCGTCTTGAAATCCGAGTGCCAACCCCACCACCTTTGGGAACCACTTGGTTCTCTTCATGCATATACTTGGGTCCACACCATGACAGACCTGTGGGTCCTACTGACCATCTCAGCTGGCTACAACTTCCAGCAGAGCTGGGTACTTGTTTCCAATCCTCCTTCCCCATCCCCCTTTTCAAGGATCTTTTTCACAAGAACTCCAGCAAGTCTCACTACTATTCCTGGGGGTTGACAGGATGTACATCTAGACAATATGCTCAAAGGAAAAAATGTTACTTAACCGCAGTAACTGAAGGTGCTGAAGACATGTTGACCGTATGCACCCCATATTTTGTCCCCTCTTCCTCACTGTCCCACATTCTGGGATTCTGCTGTTAACAGAAAACTGAGGTAATGGTGGTAGTAGCACACTGTTATGCCATGGGTGCAAAGCCCAAAGAGGAGCAACAGCTTGGTTTTGAGAATTCACACGTATTTCCTAGCAGATTTTCACATGGTCTTTCTAATAAAATAGCATGCTCTGTGGTGGTTAGGCAGACAACACGCAGACAAAATTGTGCTCATCAACCCAGCGTGACCCCCTGCTTCTCGCATGCTGCCAGGGCTGGTGGGAGGGGCCACCCAGTCAGGTGGCTCTGGACTTGGTTGTGAGTCCCTGGAGGAGCTGCTTGTGGCAGTAGGGGCTGTGGTTGTTCCTTTAGGTATCAACTGTCCTTTCTGTTCTTTATGGTAGCCTATCAAATTTTTGAATACTACTGTGTTTCTCTCTGTCGTCTTTTCTCTAAAATGCACGTGTTCAGTTCTGTCAACCTTTGCTCATAATCCTTGCTTTTTGACTCCTTTATCATTTCTGTCACTCCCTTCTAGACCCTCTCTTATTTGTCAACATCCTTAAAATGGGGAGCCCACAACTGTAGACAGTGCTCTAGCTGAGGCTTAACTAGTGCCAAGTAGGGTTCCTGGTAGATATCACATTTTTTGGGTAGTACGTGCAAGTATTTTGTGCCAAATTATAACATGTCAGCTGACCACGTTAAAATAATGAGATTTTAACATGTGCCACAAACGTTGTTGTTGAACAAGAAACTTGTAGTGGGTCTCCTATTTTTATCCAGAGATAGACTGGTTTAATGTCTGACTTGTCACACTTTGTCACATGATACTCGCATATAAAGCACAAAAAAATGTAATGTCTCCCAAGGCTTGAGAGGCACTAGCACCTGCTATGTTGTGCACCTAATACCCCTATTCATGTAGTACAAAACTGAATTTGCCTTTTTTTTGTGACTATATTACATTGAGCCACTAAAACCCCTAAATCCTTCTAAGCCATGTTACCTACCAGTCAGGCAATTATTTCTCAATCTGTATTTGTGATTTTTGATTATTTTTCCATAGGTATAGAAGCTTATATCCCTTATATTCCATAGGTATAATACCTTATATTTATCCCTACTGAACATCCTCCTATTTTCAGTAGCCCAGATTTCCAATATCAAGATCTGTCTGAATTCTACTCCTATCTTCAAAAGTGCTAGCAATCCTTCCCAGTTTCATGTCTTCTGGAAACCTGAACAGAAAGGCCTCAATTCCAGCATCCAGTTATTACCCAAAATGTCAAATAGCATAGGATCCAGAACAGACCCTGTGGAACCCCATGTGAAACCTCCTACTATTCTAACACTGATCCCTCCATAACTATGCTTTGTTTGTAGTATTATCTATCTATATCCATGTAGATGTATAGTGCCATTTACATGTGTTTGTTAAGCACAGGTCTCAAACCCCGTACCTTAGCAGTGATAAAACACGAACACTACCACTAAGATACTGCCCAGAGCCCACCTCATCTCTGAGCAACGCTCTGTAAGTTGCTTCAAAATGAAATCTGGCTGTTAAAACAAGGGTTTCCTCATTCCAGTAACTGGCATGACCATATATCTAAGGGGTTGTGCACAGAGAATTCTTACCTTGACTGTGGCTTTAGAGGGCAGTCTCTAAAATGGTGACCTGAGATGACAGGTTTGGTAAGCAAAAAATACTGCTTTGCTTTTTATGATAGATACGGTTACATATTACAGCAAAAGGTGTCTTATAAAAACAGAATAAAAAAGAGGAAAAGAAACATTAAGAAACTGGTTGTTGTAAACAAATTTAGTATAATTTGATGTCTGATTATTACAGTTACAACAAATACTAAAATCCTGCCAATCATGGTATATGAACTGAACTGAAAGGAGAAAGAATGTCCCACAGCTTTTAGCAAAAATCCCTCTCACAGCAGTGACATGTACAACTATAAACATTATTAAAATTTATTAACAAAAGCTTTGTACATATCTTTTCATACACTTGGAATTTTACATCTAGGCAAAATAACAGCACATTTCCATTTTACCATTTGTACAAATCGTTACAGAATATTAATCAGTGGGTTAAATAAGTAAAATAAACCACACTGATTTACTTTTGTAAAGTATCTACAAAAGTGATTTGTGACAATTTTTAAAATTCCCCGAAACATATAAAAATAAATTATTTTTACTTTTTCAATTAAATGTACTAATTAGAAATATTACAAATCAAAATATCAATGTTTTCTTATGAATTCTTCACAATACAAAACAGATTCACAAAACTTTATTTACAGAAATGAGGTAAGAACTGTGCAATGTTTAACCAAGAGACATATTGCAGAATTAACATGTTCTTCCAATTAAGTACACAGTGGAGGTCTAATTACAGCTGGGTCTTTTCCACTAATAATTCACTTTTCTAAATACAAATTAATGGTCATTACTCCAATTTTAACCTATACTCTGCCATACTGCATAGTCATGCCATGAGATCAACTGTCCTAGATGAAAGTGTTCTAAAACAAATTCATCCAGTTTAAGCACTGAAATTTCAGTGGAAAATGTTAACTACATACTCACTTTTTTGGTAAGTTATTAGTGGAAGTGACCCAGGTAACAATTTGCCTGAGCTATCTACAGTGGCAAAAACACTTCTAATAAAGGCAGAACAATGGGGAAGGCTGCTGGTGCAATATCAAATATTCCTGCTGCTTATAAGGACTTGTCTAGTGCATGATCAGCTGTCTGCAGCCATTTAAACAAAATGGAGGTAGCAACAGGCACTTAGTTTAGGCCATATACATCTGATATTTTCCAGATTGGCCTTTTGATCTGGCAAGGGTTTTTATGTTTGTTTGTTTTAATTGATTTAGTTTCTCCAGCAACCGCAGAACTCCAAAAACCCAAACCAAAGTTAACAACCTTTGGACTCCATCTTGAAACTTACTCTGGCAGAATTCCCATTATGGGCCAATAGAATTTGATGGAGTAAAAAGTTCAGAACTATATCCTTTGCATCACAAGTCAAATTTTAAAACATATTTGTAAAAGAAAAACAACTAATAGGCAGTCCAGACAACCATTACAACCTGGGTCTGAAAGCATATTGCAGCTGCAGCAAAAGATTAGGTGGGCTGGGTTAAGGGTTTTTTGGTTTTGCTTAAGACAACTTCAAACCCAAGTAAAATGTGACTGGAATAGGTGTTTTTCAATTTACTAGCTCTCCAATTTATAACAAAAATATAAGATGAGCACCACAGATAATTTTTCCATGGTTGAATCTGTTGCATTTAATATTGTCAAATTGACAAATTAATTATGGTTTGCAATAATGTTTTAGTCTGTGAAATTTGGAAAAGAAGTTTCCTTTCAGTGCAACAAGAAAGTAAATCAAAGCCTTACAACAATGTCCTTGTGAAGATTAATCTTTTGCTGTGCAGCTAGTTTGCATCCTTGCATCTGCAGAAAGTAAGACTGCGGTTAGCAGCCAGATGAAGTGCTTTAACAGCATGGTATGCAGTTCTCAAATATTTCTCAAATGTCAACTCTTCTCTGGTGCAACTGGTCCAGTTTTATCATTAATCCTCTGTGGTAAGAAAAAAAATGAGTACCTTTAAAACTGAACGTTACTTCAGTTTTGCTACACTCTGTGTCATCTACACATAAGTGAAAAGACATAGCTGCGATAAACTATGGACGTACAGAAAATGAGATCATATAGTCGTGTTAAAGAACTACTTAGAATATTTCTTTTTTTTCCCCCCATGACTCCAGCAAAACATTTGGTTTCTAGAAAAGAACAGTCGCACACACCTAGAAACAAAACTTGGGGAAGAAGAAGAACCAGTTCAAAAGGAGTTATATTTGAAGGACACTTGTGTGACTTTCCAAAACTACCACTTGGAAATAGTTCTCAGGCTCCGATTCTGCTTCTCTCTAAGGCTGCTGATTTCCCTGGTCCCAGAGAGGAGTCCAGAAAGGTCCTTGTGTGCCCTGATGCTCTTGTTCTCATGGAGAGAGGGTAAGAAAGGTCTTTTCACTATGTCAGAACAATTCCATCCATGAACTCAGAAACCTTGCACCACAAAAAGTATGTATAGTTAAAAAATAAAGCTAAAAAAATGTTCTTGATATTATTTTTAAGGGAAATGTTTTAAGGGAAATAAAGATATTTCTAACCAAAAAGTCTGAGTGAAAAATGTTTCATCTGGAGACAGTCAAAGCTGGCCATTTTAATTTTTCCTTAATTAAAAAAAAAAAACAGCAAAATTAACATATTTGTAAACAATGTTGGTGTTGCCGACTCAACATTTTCTTTTTGTATGGGTGTGAGAGAAAAACGAGAGAAATTTTGTTGAGTACAAGAACCAACACCAGTATTAGAGATCTAGGAAAATGCTAAATCAGTAGATGTGTTATACCAGAAACACAAATTTTATTTCCTAGGACAGCTCTATTTTTTTAAGATTGGGAAATTTTACATATCTTAAATATACAGAATGAAATACTTCAAGTTCCTAAATGAAAATCAGAGCAGCAAACACCACTTTGAAATGGCTGCAGCTCCCCTTTCCCACTTAGGGCCTTGAAGAGGGTGTGAACTTCCAGAGCAAAACAAAACATATAGATCATGATATTACTGAAGAAAAAGATACAATGATAATGCTACGGAGCATTCCCCCATGGCAAAGGTCTGGCAAATGCAACATGTCAACTCAAGTTTCTTTGATCCCCTTCCCCTCACATTGCAGTTTATTCATTTCAGGTCTGTTTGTCAAATCCAAATGAAACTCAGGCAAACCCAGGTTCTTGAGTTGAGTATGTCCCTTTCAAAATGGAAAAAAGTAACAAATCTGTGTTTGTCCGTGTAACTGGTCTTTTGGTTAACCTATACCTTAGTTTGATTAATGAACCTGTCTCAGTTCTTTGCATGACTTTATGGGACTTCCTTACGTTAATACCTAGATGACTCAAAGGCCCACTACAGAGTTTCTCGAATTATCTCATATGCCTCTCTGGTACTGGCCACTGTTAGAGGAAGGATAAGTGGGCTAGGTGGACTACTGGTTTTACCCAGGCCAGCAGTTCCCATGGCAAGCAGGTGACAACATAAAGCAGCCCAAATAACTTAAATCCTTTAGTGCCAGAATAAGGTGAAAGTTGCATTAAGTTCAAACTCCCCCTGGATTTTCGTAGGACTTGCCTCTGAATCTGAAACAATGTCCCCTTAATTATCTCACTGAAAATGCCATGACAGGTCTTGCCATAACACACTTACCGTCACTTTTTGAGCTGTATTATCTCCATGAATTGTAAGAAATGGGTTGGTAGTAGCTGTATGAAGAGGTGATGCCTGAGTGCCTGAAAGCAAGTTATTTATGGGTATCTGGGTTGCTCCTGGTATCTGCAATTGTACTTCAGACTGATGGTGTTGGTGTTGGTGATGCTGTTGCTGTACCAGTTGATAGAGAAGGGCCTGATGCTGTTCCTTGGGTGGGAGAAGGGGAAGTGGGGGGAGAAAAAAGCTAATCAACAATAAATTCAATAAATGATTACTCTTTTCCAGGTCCTAGCCAACCCCAGTTTTTATACAGTGCAACCACAATTTTATAAAGTCTCTGTAACCTCAGTTGCACTGGTGAGCCTCTACAGAATTGCTGAGATGGAACAGAAAAGCTATTACAATTTTCCTGAAGTCAGCAAACAAAGTTTTGCTAGACCTGTTAGCCAGGACAAGCCACTTTGAGAGAAGATCCAGACATTAATATTTTTTATTGAAAAAAGTATCTTAAATATATTTGTCCAAGTATTCAAATCATGCTACTGCCAATGCAAACAGCACAGCATTTCCAAACAGGTGCAAAATGGCATATATAACTTGTTAGAACAAAGCATTATTTACAATGAGCATATTGTCCATAAAAAGGTGCTGACAACTTAGTAATGAAAGATTTTTTGAAACTGAATTTTTCAAACCATAATATAACCAGGTTGCTACACCCACTTCTCACATTTGCATTAACTCAAGGAGGAAGACTATACTATAGAAACAATAACATACAAAAATAATTATAAAACATACTGATGTGAGCTGTTGAGTATTCAATAACTGCTGAAATTGCTGGTGCTGCTGATGGAGCAGAAGTTGTCTCTGTTGGTCAGGAAGTAACCCTAGTCCAGAGGCACTGCAAAGTAATGACCAATCTCTTAGTTTCTGCAATGTAACACTAGTTTATTTAACTAATAGGCCTTGGAAATTTTTACATCAGCTTTTCCTCAAAATTAAAAATAAAAAACCACATATACTATCTTGTATAAATACACACTTGCTATTCAATATAGTGATTAAATACCACTAGATACCCTAATGCAGCAGTTCCCTAACTCTGACAGATTTCACATCACCAATTTAAAATGATACAGCCTTAAGTACCACCAGCAAATTTTTCAGTTCAACGTCAAGTACCACTGGCAAATTTCTGTCATATAAAGTAATTATAATAAATCTGTTAATGCGTACCACTGACAGGTTGTACCCATACTACAGATTGGGAACCGCTGCCCTGATGAACAAAAAATGAGCAGTTATTTCCTGTGTGCATACCACATCCATATTGTGCTAATATATACCTGGACATTTCCAAAATTAACCAAAAAAGTCTTCTTTTTCCTCTCCCTCCCCCTTTCTCCTCATTCTTCCACCATTTTCTGTAGGGGCATTACAGTCCTAACCTTGATCTATTTCTGACTATTCTACATTTTCTGTTGCATTTATTTAATCTGCAAACATGAATTCAGCTGTTTGAATGATGACAATCTTAAGGCTGACACACTGAAGTCGCAGATCTCTATTTCTGGTGTCATGTACCCAAATTAAAATCCTGGCACATCTCTGAGAATCAACATATTGAAACAAAGCTGCTAATCGTCCACCCTAAGCCCTCCTTCTCCTCCACCTCTTTTCCCATTCACTGAACTGCAACACCAGCCTATGCCTATAACTCAGGCTTATATTCAGTGTAGGTCCTCAGATGCAGGATGCATCTAAATCCTTTAAATTCTTCCTGTGTAACATCTTTCCTAGGCATTCACACAGATGGATCTCACTTCTCAATCACTGTAATGCCCTTTTCTTTGGCCTTGACAAATGCAGTTTTGCCTTGCTCTTACCCATTCAGAATTCTGCCAAAAAGCTCGTTTTACTAGACCACTGCTCTGAATCCCTCTATATTTGCTCCTCCTCCACCACCACATCAAACATCAGCCACTTTAAGCCATCTGTCTTTACCTTCCAGAGTTTTCACAACATATCCCTCATTTACTACTGATGTCAATTCCTGCCCCCTATCAGCCCATAACAACAGTCTCTAGAAACACTTTGTTAAATATTCAAACAAGGAACTTCATGGTTTTGCATGGGTAGCCCCTACAGTACTGTAAACCTTATCCTCCTTAAAACTCTTCTTTGCTTCAAGATCTACAAAAAATATAGACTACTGACTTGCCAGGACCCTAAGCTACCAACAGTAACTAGTGTTGTATCATTGTTTCCTTGTATTCCTCTCTCTTGCCTGTATCTATCATCTCTTGGCTTTCACTGTTGGGACATGCATGCTTTGATTCTGGCCACATACAGACATTCAGTTTCTACTGGGAAAATAACTGTTCTCCCAATGGAAACCAAACATGTGCAGGTATTCAAGTTGTTGTTTTTTTTCAGAGCAAAAATGGCCACTCTGGGAGAAAATAATCTGGGAACTATGGTTAAATCACTCCTGGAAGAGTTTTCCCTAGAGACTGAATGTCTGCCCAATTTTCCCTGGCTTAACTCTTCCTGGGAACCAGAACAGAGCGGAGCAGGGAGGAAGGGTCACTGGTCTGGAGAAGAAAATGCGAGGTAGCTGCTCTCTCCAGTCCTGTAAACCAAGAGGGGAGAAGCAGCTGCCAGCTGCTCCTTGCCTATTTCTTATATCAGAGTTCCCTGTGTGAGAGGCAGGCAGATGTACTAATCTTTCTGCTTGGCTGCTGGGAGCCTTTTACAGAGTAGTGCAGCCCCCTGTGTGCTTCTCACATCACAGCTCCTGGTGTATGAACCAGGCAGAGACTCTGTCCTGCTGCTCCCTTTGCTAGGCTCCCAGGCACTGGAAGCCAAGTGCAGGAAGCAGCACTGTCCCCCTTCTCCTTCACCTTTCCCCCCTGCTGCTCAGCTGAGTGGCAGGAGGATGGGAGGAGGGGGCATGCAGGGGGCAAGTGCAAACTTTTCATCACTAGAAATGAATGTTTGTACCCAGCCTCTGTCTTCTAACAATGCCTAGCATAATGTGCTCTGGTCCATGTCTCCAGCATTTCGGCAGTCCAGTAACACACTTAATAATTATTTAATAAACAAGACAAAAATGTATCTGACCTCTACTAGCCAGGGTAGAAAAATCTCTATACTGTAAACATTCCCCCCAGAGCAACAACCTTGGAAATAAGAGAAATAAAACCCTTGCATCTTCTTTATTTCATATTGTAACATTTTAAATGATGGTTTAACAAAGGTCTTCAAAGTATCTTAATTTGTTTGCCTCTTGCTACTAGTATTCCTTCTTTTTCCTTTCTGATTTTTCTCTCCATCCCCCCTCCATCCCCTTATTATCTATTTCCCCTACATCATGTGTCCATATGTGCTTTATATATTGATCTCACACTTCTCCCTAAAATTTCTTGCCATCTTTCCCTCTGTCCTACTCACCTGCTCAGGCCTACGGCTGAAAAAAATATACCAGTCACCTAATGCTAGAGACCTAAAATATCCAGAAATAACCAAAGGTGGAGGAGACAAGCTTCTCCCTCCAAACTGCTAGGAAATTGTTTCTTGGGATTCTTAATGGTGCTTTCCTTGGTTCTGGAACGCCTTGGTGTTTCCGGAATGGTTGGAATTGAATCCTTCTTAGTTTCTTCCTAATTACCAAACTCACCCAAATCCAAGTTGACTGAATTTAAGACAATCTTCCAATAATTAGATTCTATACATGGAAAATGTATACTTTTTTTTTACAGTTTTCCAGGCCTAGAATCTAATTATTGAATAGTTTTCTGAAATCCATAGACTGTGGCAGGGAAAGCAATGGCGTGGGGGGCAGGTGGTGGGGGAAGCGGCGGGGGGTGGAAAATCAATGAGGGATAGG